ACACTGTGTACTAGACCTTGGAGGTCAACGTTTCGCATCAAAGACACCATGACCACAAGAGAAAACTAGATCTAATTTGTCTACTTTGAGTCATGACTATGGAATCCATGTCTCTTCTTTATAAATGGTCAATTTTAGATTGACTGTTTTTATACCTTTTGATACCTTTTGGCCTATTAATTTCCGTTACTTCTTTCATTTCAATACAGTAAATAACCAAAAGTCTGAAAAACCAAATCAGTAAGTTATAGGCACTCTGTTTAATTGACTCTAATGTCAATATGGATAAATTACGTTAAACATGAAATTATGAGACTTACTGCATGAGTTGCATTGTGTTAACATCATCCTGTAGAGAATATGTGCTGTTAATAAGCTCCTGCGTAGTTCAGCAGCTGTTTCACTCAGGACTTCAGCTGCCAACAACCTACCTTGTCCATTTCACAATAACGTAAACTAGAGATCTCATTTGGGTTTTGCTCATTAACGAGACAGCCTGCTTTTCTTTGCTATTTTGATACACGGACTTCTGTGTCTGTCATGTTACTAGTCTGGATAATTAGGATTTATATTTTATTTGCAGGGTTGTTCTGGCTTTTGTAAATTAATGTTAAAATCTTTCATCATTAAATCTTCCGATATTTTAATAAGGACAGTGATTTTTATTTGTAACATATCTTATTAACTCTATGGGCACAATAAAGCATGGCTTGCCATGCCAGGGAGGAAAGGGGGATGTAATTTGACTAGTGATGGCAGACTTGTCTCACAGGTAGCACTCAGTGTTTTCTTACGGTAGTCAAGAGTTCTAGAGAACTGAATAAAAGTTTCTGTAGATGTCATGATATCAACAGGTAACTTATCTCTGGTATGGATATCAGTACACGTTAACCCCTTAAGGACTGAGCCAAATGTGCACGTTTTGATCAAAATAAAACGTAAACAAAACTTGGAATTTTACTATATGATCTGTTCAACCGTAATTCACCTCTTTCATATTATTATATATAATTTAATTCAGGGGAAACAGGGCTTTCATATAACATCAAATATTTAGCTATGAAACATAATTTAATATTAATAAAATAATTTAAAAAATGAGAGAAATTAAGACATTTTGTTATTTTTTTAGTTCTGCATGACATTTTAACTGTGAATGTGTGTGTACTGCAATAAAATACACATATTTGTATTCAGCGATGTCTCGTGTAAAACAGTACACCTATGTACATGTTTTGTAGTGTTTTGAGAAGTTACAGGGTCAAATATAGTATGTTAAATATTTTTAGTTTTGAAATTCTCCAGATTGGTTACGTTGCCTTTGAGACTGTATGTTAGCCCAGGATGGAGAATTACCCCTATGATGGCATACCATTTGCAATGAAAAAAAAAAAAGTTACCTGCGCTCTCTCCTTAATCCCTATGTATATTTAGACAAATAGAGGTCATTTAGTTACTCCAATGGCCATTGGAGGGAAGGCCCGCCTGCCAACATCAAGGCAGACCCCCCTAAGCAAGTTCTACACTGACCCTTCAGCCTGCTTCCTTGAGCTTCTGGCAAAGATATCTCTAATGAGACAGAGAGTGGTATTTTTTATATACATCCCTACATGCTTATTAACCCTTAATAGGGAACACGTGGGATTGGCAGCAGCATTGTAACAAAGCTGTGTGATACAAAAAGTGAATACAAATACAAAAAGATAAGTCCTGCGCTCACTCCCATCACTCCTGGGCGGCAGCAACGACCACAGTACACATCGTATATAAAAAATACCCCTCTCTGTCTCATTTAAGATATCTTTGCCAGAAGCTCAAGGAAGCAGGCTGAATGGTCAGTGTTAGGACCCGCTTTGGGGGGTCTGCCTTGATGTTGGCAGGCGAGCATTCACTCCAATGGCCATTGGAGCAACTAAATGACCTCCATTTGTCTAAATATACATAGGGATTAAGGAGAGAGCGCAGGTAACTTTTTTTCCTTTGGTTTTTACTATATTTTGGGGCTGATGTGCACTGTGGTTGTTCCTGCCGGCCAGGAGTGATGGGAGTGAGCACAGGATTTATCTTTTTGTATTTATACCATTTCCAATAGTAGACAACCCAAAGTATTGCAAGTGGGGTATGTCCAGTCTTTTTTAGTAGCCACTAAAGCAGTTAAAGCGGGAGATCGCCGGCGAGCAGGTAAGTGGGAAGGACGGAGTGGACGTGCTAACACATACTAATGCAAAAGGAAAGGCATTTTCATTGGATGAGGGATTGTGCAGGTTGTGATGTGTTATCTCCTTCAAAATGCAAATACACTAGTACCACTGATTATATTAAGTGGCATTCATGTGGCATTTTGACTTGAATGCCACTCGAAAGGAGAAGCAGATGATCACCTACATTTTGCCATTGATTACATCAAGCCAGAGACAGTAAGGAAATGAGCGACCAAGTGAGGGAACAGTGGTGTCACTAGTAGTGAATCTTCCCCCTTTAAAACAAGGAGACATAGGTTTTGGGCAATCTATGTCTACGATGGGTTCTGACATGGATTCACAGGCTCTGATGCTGCTAATTGATCTTTAAAATGGAAACTAAAAGGTAAGTATACCCCCCCACAACCAGAGCCGGCATACCTATTACATGGCACACACACAACACTCAGACCCCCTCCACACAACACTGAGCTTCCATCACACACGGAATTCAGTCACCACAGCAACACTCAATTAACACAAATGTACTGAAGGTGGATGTTATTAACTGCTTCAGGCAAGTGTCATGACCCAGTGGTAATGAATAAGAGGTCATCTTTGATTAAAGCAGACATGCATTATGTATTTCATGGATTTGCTCTCGATTGTAACCAAATTAAACCATTTACCTAAATTGTCCATAGTTTTGTTGTATTTTTTGTGTGTGTTTTGAGGGTATTAAAGATTTTTTTTGTTTGTTTTTCTACCTGTGCATGGCATGCCACACATGTTCCTTTTAATATATTCTTTACACGCTGTATTCTAGCAAACGCATGAATGTGAAGTTCTTTATGCCGTTATTGTACGTACCTAGGACAGCTCCCAACGCTGGGTTGCAATGAAGGTCTATGTAATCAGGCACCTTCACCAGCGTGTATTGTTGTCCTTTGCTCAAATCTTTGGAGGAGGTGTTGCAATTAATTTAGGAGCAGATAGGTACATACAGAGATGAGCAATATGGAAAGGAGATTTGGTTAAAATAAGTTAATGAAATGATGCTGAGAATTTAAGGAGATAGTCACATACTACATGACCAAATCCTTGTCTGTCAGTCGTTGACTGACTATATATAAGCTGGTTACACTGATAATTTTTAATATTATATATTTAGTATAGAAGTGATGTTCTATGTTGCTCAATAGAGTTAATGGGCTTGACCAGAATTCAGTCATTTAATTTCAATGACGTCTAGTTAAACTTTTATTGTAGCGAGACCTTGATCTCTAATGTAATACATCTTAAAATTTGATATAACCTGCAATACTGCAATAATTCTCTCTTGACAATCTGATGAGGAGAGCAAAATGTTTGAATTAATATTAAAATAGTTTAAATTTGAAGATTAGAAAAAAAAATTTGCTTGTCCTTTAGTGACTGTAAATTTGGGAAATGCTAGACCCGCAAATGTAAATAGGCTCTCAATGATCAAAAAATTCCCATATAACTACACAAATAAAACCATTGAGTCCCAAGATTCCATTGTTACCAAAAAAGAGTCCAAATTTACCTCCTTTCTAAAATGGCCATGTCACCAAAAAGTAAACTTTATCTAATCTGCTTCTACATAGCTCTCTGTGTCTGAGTATCTTTTTACCTTTTTTTGTTTCCAGACTACCCTAGTTTTTATAAAATAAATAAAGAAAAGTAGGGACTACTTTTCCTTATGTACAGCAGTCAGGTTGACAAAACGTGACAATGGATGGGGCTTAGAGAAAGGTTCTGTTTGTGGGGATATTTATGGGATAATAATAGTAACAGTAAGAATTGCCCACTAATTCAATTCTCAGACCCAAAGATCGTTATCGTGTTAAGTGAGAAGTATTTCATATAAATAATATTCACAATTTGTTATAAAAATAGATTTTATTTATAATAACAAGTTAATTAATAATAATAATATGTAACATGCGTGACAATAATCAATGAATATTCAGTATAAAATGGTATGCAATACAAAGGAATGGCTAAACACGTTTCAATGGCTAAACAGCATTTTCTGTCAAGTCTTCTGATTTATGAGGTATCTTTAACACAGACTGAAAGTGAAACTTTTCACAGCGAAGGGCCATAAAACCCTGGCTAACAGTTAGAATAACCCTTTCAATGCTGGCTAGATCTCCTAGGTAATTAAGATCTATTCTTATGTAATTTTAAATAAAATAACATTTAAACCAGTTCATTAGTCATTTCCTGGAACCATCCAATAAGAGAATCTACCATATTATATAAGCAGATTTTGTTTTTAATTTGTCTAAAAGATATCTTATCTTAATTTAGAGCAAATCAATACACCTGGATAAAAACAACGGTATGCTACCACGTGATAATATCACATCAATATATAATTATTCTTAATTCCACCTGCAGAATGGGATGTTTATAACTATATATTCTTTAGTTAACTAAGATTTCTTAATATGGAAATCTGACCGTGCTTTATCCAGTCATATATAATGCTATTAATACATTTTTATTAATTTAATTAATTAAATGAAACCAGTATAATTACCAGTTGAGTAGATATTTCATCCGATTGGTAGATAGTCTCAGGAACTTATTTGGATGTCTGTAGGTGCATGAGTTATGGTGAAAGGTGGTGTTGGTTAGGAAGTCAGTAAAATTCTAAGTGTTAGAGTTTTAAGAGTAGAGTGTTAGTCTCAGATGTTGTCCGAGTTGGAGTCCCCCAAACTTCCAATTCCTCTCTCCTCTTTTTCCTTCTCCTTTGCATCTCCATCTTCCCTTTGTCCTAACTTTTAAAGGGCCAGACTCTCTGTTCGTCATCAGTTGATAACCCAATAGAAGCACTAGAGGTGTGGTTATCTTCCAGATCGCAATTTAGTTATTTGGTCTATAGAGGGCAGTCTTGTCCCACTAAACATACCTATCCAGGAAAGAGTTAACTTTTCCTGGTGGCTATTTTGACGTCATTTTGCGTTATCTTTATATTGCCATAACTTAAAATTTCAAAGGGTTTTCTCTTAGTTTTGTTCAGACTTAGTGTCTGCAATTCCTGCTATAATTTCTAAAATGGCAGATCATGAACTAAGTTTAACCTTTTCCGTACAATGGTACCTTATATATATATAGACAGTAAAATTAAATTATTTAATCTTCTCTGTCACAAATGTCTGGGTTTAGAATTGATTATATTCCATTAGCATTTTAGACAGTCTATCCAACCCCCCTTTCTGCTTATCATTTGGTTTGTATATACTATGCATTCCTTTAGCTCTGGGAAAGTGGTTAGTTTTACAGATAGAAATCTTGTGTCTTTTTGTTAACTTGGAAATAACAAAATGGAGTCTGCTCTGTTCAGAGTGACTCAGAATATACACTTTTAATTTCTATCATAGCACAAGATGTCTGCCGATATAAATACCCTGACATGTTGCAGTTGACAATCACACTTACCCACCATCCAACAGTAAAATAAAACCCACAGAAGGGAAATAGCACATTTTATGGGCAAAGCAGAACAAAATGGCTCCTCCCACATATTGAGATCTTGCACAATAAAGAAATGATAAAAAAAAATAAAGGCAAATGGCAAGGATGGGAGTATAATCATTACTGTACAAGGGACATTTGGAAGGGAAAACAAAATGAAAAAGAAATGTGATTTAAAAAAAATTAAGCAGAGGACTCCCAGACCCCTAGCAAAAATTGTTTGTGAATTCCCAAAATATTCTTTTAACACGGAAAGAGTTAAAATGCTTTTCAAGATTACTCAGGTTTCATGACATGAGATGACAAAAGAAAAGTGTCAATTTAAGGGTTAGACTCAGAAAATCAAACATGTAATGATAATAACAAGCACAATTTATATAGCAACCATATCTTTTAGGTTGATAACAGTTAATGAAAACCCATTATTTATGGCCATATAAAAAACGCTATATCCACATTGGTTTTTCATTTTTTTTCCTTCCTCCATATGCCTACAAGTTCTTATCTTATTACTGATTTGAACAGAAATCTAAGTCCATGGTCATGTTTTTTGTGAAAGGACATTACTGGCCATGATGCCATCAATGATGTATGAGGTTTACAGCTTGTTAAATCATGATTTGAAATGCTTTTGACAACTTTTGACAATTTAGCATTCTTTACCTTGCTACAGACTCCAATTACTGTGCAAAGCCTGACAGCCCTTCTTATGAAGAACCATTGCAAACACACCATAGTGGGATGAAGCTGACTCATGAATGTTACAAAAGGGTTATCTGACAATTTTTTTCTCTGTAATAGGAATCTGAGAGAGAACTTGTATAACATACCAAATATACTACTCTGAAGAAAATTATATTTATGTGTGATGGCTAGTGGATACTTTGTGAAGTATTTAGTTACATATATGGAAGGTGAGGGATTAATGAGTTACAAATATAGGTAGCACCCAATGTTCTAGATGTTCGTCTTCAGTTAGAAGTTACAGCTATGTCGTTTGGTTCATGTCCCGCTTTGCCATCAGAACATAGTAGTGAGTAGTGCGGTACCAGCCAGGGGTCAAGGTTTGGCCAAAGTTATCATAGAGAACTTCAAACTTTGTCCTGTGTAGGTTGACGTGGTAAGAACAGTGCTCATGGTAAGAAAAATGCAAGGGTCTTGCTTCATACCTATTACAATGTAGGCAGGTAAGGATAAAGGTAGAGACAACAGTAGTGATTACAGGATATCAATTGGAAAAGGAAATACCTAGGGGAACAATGCATAGGAAAAATAACACATAGCTGCAAAACAGCATGATTAAAGAAAATTACATAAAGATCGTAAACTAGGCATAAAATACAGAACGTGATAGAAGTTGAGGTAAAAATACAAAGATAGACAGACGAGGTAAAGAATCCCAGGACACAGGGGCGTATCAAGACCCCAGTGTCGGTAAAGGCGTTGAAAGATGTTTTATTTTAATTTTTTATTTCATTTTTAAAAAACACACTCATATAGTATTTGTTAATGCTTGGGGGATCTGTCACAAAATTACTTATGTATATCTGCGAACATAGTTCCACAACAATAAAACTCACAAATTGCTCAGAGAATATAGTGGTGTATATGTGTGGTGTCACTGTGTGCCAATGTATAGGTCATATTTGTGTGGATTTGCACTGTCTGAGTGTAAATGAAGAGGTGTATTTCATTGGAATGCCAGTGCATGGAATGTAGAAGTGTGTCCATGGAAGTTTGGTGTAATTTTGGTGTATATGGATTTGAATGTAGGAGAAATTGAGTGGAATATGTGTAAATCTCTTCTTTTGTCATTTCCATACGTTCAGCCCTACCCAGCCATACCTCCAGTATTCTTGCCTCCCTCCAGAGTCAGCCTTATCTCCAACCTACGACAGTATCCTAGACAGTCATAGAAAGAAGACATCAGAGAAAAAAAGAAGAGCAAGTCCTGGCCAGAACAAAGGGGATGGATGGGAGAGTATTTGGAGACAGAAATACATAAATATAAAGGGAAGCAGAGTTATTCTGGAAGTGATGGAGAGGCAGTGGAAAGACTTGCAGTGTAAGATCTCCGGTACTCACCCTGGCAGTCCGCTGACCTGCCCCCGCTCCCACGCTGTCAGAGGCTCCAGTCAGCTTCGTTCCTTGTGATTGTATATTTTTGGCTTGTTTTTGATGTTTCTTGTAGTTTATTCCGGCCGTTCTAAGGACCGGTTTAGGGACTTCTCTCTGTCTCTGTTTCTACTGGTGGGTTTTCATACTGCTATGTTACTGAAGCCGCTAATACTTTGTCAACTTTTTACAGACATAGACAGACATGAGAGTTGTAGTCCATCAAAATTGGAGTAACAGATGTGGTTGATCATTATCCCAGATATAAAAAATATGTCCTTGCTATAAATAGCCTATATTAGCCATTGGGTAACTGGATGTTTATTTCTCTCTCTCTATCTCTCTCCAGTTACTTAAATTTGCCAACTGCAAATTAATTAAAGTGAAGTAAGCACACTCAACCGACATTAATAGAAGGAAATTTAACAAGAGCACTACACAAATAATTAGGTCGCTAAGTGACTCAGACCTTCCGCTTTCTATTCTTTACCTACTACCTTGGGAACTTTGATTTCATAGATTTAAAATAAGGCAACTCATTTTGTAATTTTTCTGAACTAAAAAATATCTTTCACAGTACAGGCACCATATGCCAGAACACTGTCTGTTTTATGAATCATAAGGGTAACAAGGGTTCTCTCTGAGCAAATTTCATAAGCAGCCCAGCATTAATAAGAAATGTCTCTTTAAAAGTGAAAAATGAACAATATACAGGAACAAAAGGGTACTCAATGGAAAATTAAGGGGTAGTTGGTGTAAATGTTAACGTGTTAACTATTTCAGAATTGCATAGTTCATGTTGATGGAAAAATCACATAAAACATTTTATCTCAGTATTGATATAGTTTACATTCCTATATATTGTCTTAGAAGCACAGTTTATGTATTTATATTTAGGTACGGTAAAGAAAACTATAGATTAAGCCACACAAGCTTTTGCATTTGCATTTGTTTTCCATCCTAAATGACATTTATTTATCGTATGCAGGGGATTGGGGATGGTACTTATTCCACTCAGGGCCGGTGCAAGAATTTTTGCCGCCCTAGGCAAAAGTAAAGTTTACCGCCCGCCCATTGGACATCACAATGCCCCACCCATATGATCTGCGATGTTAACTAACGCCAGTGCCGCCGTGTTTACATTAAAAGGCCTGCAGGGACAGGCTAGACACCAGAACCACTATATTAAGCTGCAGTGGTTCTGGGGACTATAGTGTTTATTTAACCCCTTAAGGACCAAACTTCTGGAATAAAAGGGAATCATGACACGTCACACATGTCATGTGTCCTTAAGGGGTTAATGTGAGGTAAATTAGAGATTAGTGCCACGAATAATAATATAGATTGCCTACTTACAACCAGATGAGGATGATGATGGGCTCTAGCTGCAGTCTGGCTCCACTGGTCTGGTGTAGAATAGGCTCTCTGGAGGCGGTTTGTAATTGTGGTCACAAAAATCAATGTTCTGGGAGAACGGGAAGAAGCTCCATTTTTGGGGGCCCTTTACACAGCTCAAGGTCTGGGTCCCAGGGTCCACCTTCATGTTCCACCAATGAGTTTGTTCACAGGGGGTGGAGTGTGTAGGGGATGTCCTGATATGTGTGTAAGGAATGCATTGTGTGAATCTGTGTTTGTATGTGTAAGGGCTGCAAGGTGTGTTTCTGTGTATGTACGGGATGCAGTATGTGCGTCTGTAAGGGATGCATTGAGTGTGTGTAAGGGGTGCATTGAGTGTGTGTAATAAATGCATTGTGTGTTTCTGTGTGTGTAAGGGATGCATTGTGTGTAAGGGTTGCATTGCTTGTGTATGTGTGTCTGTGTGTGTAAATGCATTGTGTGTGTAATGCATTGTGTGTTTTTCTGTGTGCAAGGGGTGCATTGTGTGTGATTGTGTGTGTGTGATGGATGTCAATTTCCTTCTCCCCCCCCAATTTCCTTCTTCCCCCACCCTCCTAATTTCCTTCTCCCCCTCCCAATTTCCTTCTCCCTCTCCCAATTTCCTTCTCCCCCCACCCAATTTCCTTCTCCCCCACCCACTCTTCCCTCCCTCCCACCTCCTTCTTCCCTCCCTCCCACTTCCCTTCTCCACCCCTCCCACCTCCTTCTCCCCTTCCCTCCCCAATTCCCTCCCACCCCTTCTCCCCCTCCCAATTTCCTTCTCCCCTCCCCAATTTCTTTATCCCGCCTCCCAATTTTATCCCCTACCATGTAGGCCGAGCTCTGTATGGTCCGCGGGTACAGGGAGCTTTTGTTTCCTGTACCCGGCCGGACTAACAGGAAGTGCACTCTGTGTGCACTTCCTGTTAGTCCGGCCGGGTACAGGAGACAGATGCTCCCTGTACCCGCGGACCATACAGAGCTCGGCCACGCTACAGTGAGGGAGTGACAGGAGGGAACGCTAAGCGCTGAGCGCTTCCCTCCTGTCAGCCCCTCTCCTCATGCTGCGCCCAGGAGGTGCGGTGTGCCGTCATGGACGCACTAGCCCGGGGAAAGCTGCAGCTGCCTGAGGCTCTCTACAGAGCGCACGGGCGGCTGCAGCATGAGGGGGGCCGGCGCTCCTGGTGGTGCCCCTTCCCAAGGGGCGCCCTAGGCGGCTGCCTAGTCCGCCTAACAGGTAGCGCCGGCCCTGGTTCCACTGATATGAAGAACATTATGCGTCTACTCTGATTTACA